GAATGTCACACAGCCCAAAATGGTGGAATTGGGCTTCACATCTTAGTGCCACGACCTACTGTTGCCTTCTAAGTCCAAGAACCGGAACTAAGGTGGACTCATAGAAATGACCATAATGAGAAAAGGGAGTTTAGAGCCAGGCCCGTGCAGTCACCCTGGCCCATGGTCCTCTGTTGGCCGGGTGTGTAAGCGGGTTTCTGCACCTTGCCTCCTGTGCCTGGGCCCATAAGAGATTTTCTGCAGTTTGGGCAACCAGCAACATGGAACCTTGTGTGGATAATGAACCTGAGAAGTTGCTTCATGCTGTCATTTGAGCTAGGTCCTTCTGCTAAGCTGCTGGTTTTACTCACGACCACCAGCTATTCCTCCTGTGTCCCCAGACTCTCCTCCAGGCTTCATGCTCACATGTACGCTCATACATGCCCTTCAAAATGCAACCAATAACAGCACATGGTTTTCCTGACTCTCTTAAAAATACATTATTGCCAGGATCCCTCTTCAAAGCCCTTGTCTGGAGGGTCCCTGCCTATACCTACCTGCTCACCAAGTATTGTAAGACCCCAGGAAAAGGCAATGGCCATCTCCTGTAACCACCCACTGAAAACATCTCGGATTTCATGACACTCCAGGAAAATGATCCAGGGTACCAGTAGCTACAGCACGAATACTAACTGTTCTTAACAAAAACCCGGAGTCGGATATTTGGGGGTGAAAGCCAAGAGATCAGAGCAGTGCAGTCAGTCACTAGAGAGACCTTTATCTCTATCAAATCCTTAGACCCAAAGGGCGATCCTGTTTTCAGACTGCATCCTCTGACTGCTTCAGAGGACATCTCCAGACTGCACCGAGCTCCTGACTCCTCCACCTTTACATCCCTCTCTCAGTCCAGCCAATCACTCCCATCTCCACCTTCCTAGTTAGTGCTGGATTAAGGTGTGTGATCCCAAGTGCTGGGATCACCTTTGTATGAGCTCTGGTTCTCTTTTAGATTCAGGCTCATATAGTCCAGGGTGGCCTTGAACTGTGTTCAAGATCCCTCTGCCTCCAGGAGTCCTGGGATTAAAGGTGTGTGCCACCACTGCCTGGCCTCTAGTGACTTAGCTCTGCATTGACCTTCAGGCGAGCTTTATTAAGACAAATATCACTACAAGTAGCAACGAGGTATCACTCCCTATAGGTGACGGAGGGTCCACAGCACTAAACGTCAGACTCACAGGGCCACAAAGCATGCTGTGGTCTGGCATGTTAGTAGTCTACACAAGGTGAACCTGAAATTCACTGGACTAAAGAGATTTTAAACCACAAAAGGGCACAGGGCCAAAGATCTACTCCAAAAGGAGGACAAGCCCAGCCCCACTTTTTAATACTAATGAATGCAAGTTTTGAAAAACCCACCGGTGTCCTAATGCTCCCTTCAGAAGCCAGGAGTTTTATCATTTTCGTTGAGCTAAAAATGCACGAACCTCTTCTTGAAAGCATGAATTTGTTGGTATAAAGAACACTACCACTCCAGAGTTTCAGGACAGTCACGACAAACATTTTTAATTGGTTTCTGAAAGACATCTCTATGTAAACAAGGTTTTCCTTGAGTAAAGGCTGGGATAGTTGTTACCCAACAACACCATTTATTTTTAAGCTGGGATTGCTGTGCTCCCTACAGGAGCCTCCCGGTTCAGTTGGTTTCTTAGAAGCGCTTGCATTCTGCCGCTTTTGATGACAAACACCAGGGAGGCAGAGGCAGGTGGTTGTCAGCAAGTTTCAGGTCAGCCAGGGCTATGGAGCCAGATCTTGTCTCAAGAGATAAAGTCAGCTTAGTATTCCTATTTCTTTTGTCTTCCAGTTCAACACAGTTCCAGGAACAATAACAATCCTTTCCCATCTGCAGCTCTGGTCTGGCTAGATTTGAAGGAACTGGGCTATGATTGGGGTTAAACGGGTGAGTTCAACAAAACTCTAAGGCCCACAGATCTTCGATTACAGAACGCTTACGTTTATTTTTCTTTGATACGGCGAAACGAACTTCCTATGAACATCTGCCCTCACATTTGCCTCTGCTTATGCCTGGGGTTGGTCTTGCAGAGGACGAACCAGCGCCCACGCCTTTTCACCATGTAGCAGTCCCGGCATCGCTTCTTGAGGACACCCTTGGTCTTGAAGCCCAGCGAGGGCTGCAGGGGCAGCAGGGGGCGGGCCCAGAGAAGCGAGCGCACCTCAGCGCAGGGTCTGGCGCTTGGAAGGGTCCCCAGCAGGAACGAGAAGGCCCGGGGCTTCACCGCGAGGCGACTCAAGTGCAGGAGCGGATCCATGAGCGAAGCCACCGTGCTTCTCACAAGCAGGGCAGCCATGCTGAGACCAGACCTGTGGGGACAGAAGCGCGGTCACCGGCGGCGGCACGTCTGCCTATCCATCCCTATGCCCTCCCTTTGCGGGGTTACTTGCAGTCAGAGGTCAGACAGAGCTGACTTGCCAGGCTTGCACGCCTGGCTCCGCGTCCCCATGTGCCCCTCCTGCGCGCTCCCGGGAAGCCACCAGGGCCCCCCGCTCGCACTCCCGGCCATCAGCCACTCGCCTCTGCCTGCCGCCCACGGAACGCAGACCCAATCCTGGGAACGGGTGCCACCCGCCACGATCTCCTGCCTACACGGTCACGGGCGCCCGCTTACCCAAAGCTTCCGCGTCTGCGCAGTAGGGCGGGACGCCACGGTCAAGAGGATGGCGTGGAGTCACGTGGAATCACACGCCCGTTGGAACGGAAGACCCAGGCGCAGGCTTCCGGAGTTACAGCCCTAGCTCTCTTCTCTGGTCCTGACCCAGCGTCCTGTAGCTAGCACTCCCCTGGAGTTGCTGGAACCACTGTGGATTGGGAAGACTGGTGCCCACACGAGAAGACAAAAACTAAGTGCAAAATGCAGACTTAGACTGAAAAGGAAACTGCCAGCTGCGAAAAAAAAAATATGTATAATATATAAATACATTTCTTATATATTATACATTTATATTTATAACATAAATATATTTACATATTTATTATAAATATACATAAGTGTATATCTATAAATATATAATTTTCACACACACATATATATATTTGACAAAATGTACAGGTTTACACGTTTCCACTAAGTGACATGCAGGCACACATGGGAAAAGGCCAGGAGAGCAGAAACAGACACTCCTCTAGCTAGTAAGTAAAGTCCTCCATGCCCCCAAACTATGAAAAAGCTTCAAGTGCAGAAAGAGTTTGACCGTAAACTCTCACACCTCCACTGGTTTCCAGGTAACTCTCTTCTATACCGGATTTCAGGTGGTTCATAAACCCACCCATCGTATTTTTATGTGGGTTACCCTCAGATCACACAAAGTTCGCTCAGCCCATCTCCGTACCTGCCAGCTGCGAAAAAAAATATGTATAATATATAAATACATTTCTTATATATTATACATTTATATTTATAACATGGGAATTTATATTTATATCATGGGAATGCCTTGACCCCAGAGTTCTGTGATTTAAAAATAATGTGGATCACAAAGATGGTTTGGGAGTCAAAACTGCTTGCCATAGAACTTGAAAGCCTAAGGTCAATCCCCAGAACCCACGTGGAAGAAGAGACTGGCATGTGTTCTGTGGCACATGTGTGTGTGTGTGAACCCATGTGTGTATGAACACACAGAATAAGACATTTTAAAAAGAGACAAATCGGGGCTGGGGAGTTGGCTTAGACTGCTTCTCAGCCTTCCTAACGCTGCAATTCTTTAATACAGTTCCTTACGTTGTGACGACCCCCCAACCACGATTATTTTATTTTCGTTGCTACATCATAACTATAATTTTGCTACAGTCATGAATTGTAATGCAAATATCTGATAGGCAGGATATATGATATACAACCCCGCTGTAAATATTGCTTGACCGCAAAGGGGTGCACCCACAGGTTGAGAACCCATGGCTTAGCGGTTTAAGATCGTTTGTTTGCTCTGGCAGAAGACCATCATTCTGTTCCCAGAACCCACACAGCGGCTCAAACCATCTGTAACTCCACTTTCAGGAGATCCTGAGCCTTCTTTCTGGTACCAGGCACCCACACACATGGCCAGACATAGATGCACACACTCAGACACGTACAATAAAAGGAAATAAATCCTTTAAAAAGAGGGAGAAAGACGAATCTGCAGAACGGGGCATGGTGACGTAAGCCTGAAATACCAGCAGTCTGAAGTCTAAGGCAGGAAGGTGGTGAGCACTAGGCTAGCTTGGGTTACAGAGCTTAAGGCTAGCCTGGGTAATTCAGGTCCACATTTGTTGGGGCAACTTTCAGCTTTGTAAGGCGTGTGTGTGTGTGTGTGTGTGTGTGTGTGTGTGTCCGTGTGTGTCCTGTGTCTTTCTGCCCTTTATGGTCATCTTCACTTGTTTTAGACTCACTAAGCACAGAAAGAGCCAGGTCATCAGTCTCCAACCCTGGCTGAGGAATCCCAAGCTCATACTAATTTCTGACACTTTCTTGGAATTAGTGGCCCACCCCTGCTCTGCGTCTGGGGTCTCCCTCCATCCTGTCCACATCCGAGCAAAGTTGCTCACTCTAAGGTCTGACAGTGTATGACGTTCTGGCTCAGATTCACGTGAGACAGGGGAGCCAACACGCGCTCCAAAGTTACAGAGGGCGTTTTGCATCTGATCTCTCTACTTGGAGCTTTTCAAGGCTGGTTTTCCAAGCTGGGTAAAATCGCTTGCAGTCTAACTGGAAACTTTATTTATTAGCTCCGTGCTGCAAAAAATGCTCAGAAGGCTCCCTTTCCAGTCCCAACACACAAGACCAGAAAAGCTGAGTGCATGTCCCGTGTCTTCTGCTGAAGAATCTATTTATTCAATAAATAACATTGAAATGTTGCATTTGCTCCATCGCCATAAAAGCGCAGGAGCAGAATCCGCCGGCCCAGGGACTCCACTTCACCACAGGGCGAAATAAGTTCCTCCAGCGCAGTCCCGCCAGCCTGTGCGCCTGCGTAGGCGCTCCGTACGCCGCGCGGGGTCAGGGGTCACCGGGAAGATGGCGGCGGCGTTGACCTTCCGCCGGCTGCTGGCTCTGCCCAGGGCTGCGCGGGGTTTCGGGGTGCGAGTGTCGTCGAGCGGGGAGAAGATCACGCACACCGGCCAGGTAACGGCCGCCGCCGCCGCGCCTGGAGCCCGAGACTGACGGTGGCGGGGCGCCTAGCAAGGTGTGCTTCTGCTAGGCGCGCGCGCAGCCCTTGCTGGGCTCACCTTGGGGTGCAGCCCGCAGCCCCGCTCTGACTGTAGCTTTGACCTCCGGCCGGGAGTCGGTGTTCACTCGTTCTTTGAGTCGTATCTTTGTATTGAGGTCCACGTTTTAACAACAGGGTATAAAGCAACCCTAACGCTCAATATAATGGCGAACAAACAATCAGGAGTAGGCGGCGGAAAGGAGCACTGTCTCCTGAAATGTCGCCTTTTGGAATAGGCTGTCTGAAGGCAGGGGCTTGTCTTCAGTCTGCACTCCTGGCCGTCATTCCCGCGGGGATTCCTTCAGTACCAATACGCTGCCTCTTGGTGGGTCTTCTCATCAATGGCTGTAGGCCACAGGGAACATTGTCCTGTAGTGTTTGGGATCAATATTAAGTGACGTCACTCAGAATTCAATTGTAAAAGTAATAGATTTTTTTTTCCCTTTTACAGGTTTATGATGAAAAAGACTACAGGAGGATTCGGTTTGTAGATCGTCAGAAAGAGGTAAGTGAAGCGAATTCTGCACCTGTCTGGGGGTGGGCTGTAATGAAAACACAGGCGCAGTGACGGTACACATATAAATACCTTCAAACACTATATAAGAAACAAGTGGTTTTCGCGTTTGTACTTGGACCCCTCTTTGAAGTGGCTCATGTCTAAGCAAATATTCTCAAATCTGAAGTATTGACTGGTCCCAGGCTTCTCGTGGAGCTGGTATTTAGTGTGCGCCAGATCCTAAGCATCATAGAGACCCAGGGCCCTAAATGTAAATTGTGTAAACTCCCCGCCCCCCTCAAAATGCACAGCATCCTGTGACAGTAGTTCAGGTGTCCGAAGTGTCATCTTGTTTTCAGTTTGGTACCTGTCCTGGTGGTTCTGTTGCTGTGACAAAACACCATGACCCAAAGCAGCTTGGGGAGGAAAGGGTTCATTTCACTCTGTAACTCTCAGATCACATTCCTGAGGGAAGTCAGGGCAGGAGCTGAAAGAGACCATGGAGGAATGCTGCCTACTGGCTTGGTATGCTCAGCCTGTTTTCTTTGGGCACCCAGGACCACCAGTCAGTCTAGAGGTGGCACTGCTCACAGTGAGCTGGGCCCTTCCATATCAGTCATCAAGAAAATGCCTCCACAGACCTGCCTGCAGGCCAGTTCTATCGGGGCGTTTTCTCGATTGAGTCGTTCTTCACAGATGACCCAAACATATGTCAAGTTGACGTAAAACTAGCCAGCACAGGACCTCTTACATTAAAAGAAGACACACCATTAAAATTTACTGTTCTGATGACTTATTGAGGTAATACTTTTATAGTTTTCATCAAATAGACCGTGCTATGTTCTCCCAGAATAACTTGGGTAGGTTCAGTTCCCCACACAGGGAAAGGTCATTTAGTTCGTACCAGTATGACTGCTGCTAGGGTTGGCTGTATCTGGATTTTTGTCTGAGGACTGTGGGTAACAGGATGCTGGGCGGTTAGACCAGATCTATAAGAAGGGTAGGAAGCGCTCAGGAGAATCCTGGCTGGCATGACAAAGGACCAGGGTCTAGGTTTGTGATGCGTGGTCATCCTGAGAGGATGCTGCATCTGTACCACCTGTCCTTGTCCTGTAAGAAAGGCCAGAAGTCAGGTCTAGTGATCTGGGGCAGGTGTACCTTGGAATCCCTGAATGAAGAGGAGGCAGAGCACTTGGTTATGTGATTGTCAGGCACGTGCTGAGGACAGATAATTCTGTGCTGGGATGTGGTAACAGCAGCCTTGTCCACAGTTGAGGACTTTTGGGTGTTACTGGTGTCATATTCTGGGCTGCCAGGCTGGTGTGCTTCTCCCTCCGGAGCTCAGCTCTTCACCTCTGGGGCTGGTGGCCACCCAGTGGTCACAGACAAGGACAGCACGGAAAGTGCCACGGAGCCCTTGCTTCACTTAACTGCCTCTGCCCTCACCCTTGGAAAGTGGTGTCACTTGCAGTTTGAAACTAAGCAGTTGGGTGGAGTATAGGACACCTGGAGATGGGGTCTGCTGTGCACAGGTACGTGCTGATTTTCTGTTGTCAAGGTTGAGAAGCAGACTTCCTCTGAGTTTAGAAGGCTGTAACCTATCATAAATTCTGGTTATAAGTCAGGATCTCAGAGGTATTGGTTATAAATTCATAACCCCCACCTGGGGCCAATGGTTGCAGCTTTTCTCCAAGGCAACGGGAAGTTTCAGCAGCCCGGGACCAAGGTGGATGTTGTATATATAAGATGGAGGCTGCCGTAGGCACTACTCCAGGTATGCCTGTGGTTTTCAGGCTGCACACATGTGTACATACATTGTCTGAATCATAATTGAACAATCTTTGAGTTTATTTTACACTGATACCTTCTCTCCATGGAGCCCACATCTCACAGCCTGGGATAGTCACCTGGGTCACTGCTTCAATGGTGCATCAATCTAGATGTATTTCATAGTATCCTGCTTTATCTTTGATAATTCGGTCTTGGTTTGAAATAAAGGAATGTATTTTCTGTAGGAAACCAGATTGTAGACAAATGAACCTTGGCTAAGCCAGCTGGCCATCGAGAAGAAAAGAAATGGTGGCTCTTGAGTTTTAACTCACCCTGTGTAAAGGACACACTTCACAGTGTTGGACGGTCGAGGCACCGTGACAAGCCCTTGACAGTTCTCCCGGGGCCTGAAGCGGGCAGGGCCTGGTTGAACACAGTGCAGATTTGGCATGTGGTTGGAATGCTTACGACCAGGCTCTTTGTATTCCTGCCTTGAACCAAGTTCCAAGAAGCAGATGTTAATCCTGGGAGGTGAGGGTGCCCTGGAGTGGTGATTAAATGACAGGAGGGCAGGCACTTGTCAGTCACCAGCGTGGAGGTGTCAGCTGTCCTTCCCACAAGGAGACGGCCAGGCTTCGCAGCCGCCTTGATGAATTCCTGAGCATTAGTGCGGCCTTTGTGACATGCTGTCACCTCGCAGACTCAGGACTCACACCACAGGGCTCCATTCGTATGGCCGCTGCTTTTCCCACACGGGGTGCACGGGGTACATAGAACAGACAGCTTTCCCTAGCTGTTCTAGGTGCTGGTGTCAAGGAGCTGCCTAACTGTCAGAGGGACTGATCACAGTGGAGTGTGCTCATGGGGAACTTTCTTCCTGTGTTCATGGACAACTGTATATGGGAACCTGGGAATCACTGCTGGAGAAGATGTCTGATGTCTTTTTGCTGCAGCGTGCCACCATTTCCAGTGCCTTCCATCGTGTTTACAGAGCTGAACCTCAAAGTAGAGACTTACCAAGGAGCAATCTATAATTCATAATGTGCCCTCAGGATACCCAGCCTTTTCCAGACATGCCTGTTTCTGAGTGTGGGTTTCAGGCATCTGAGGAGAGGGGCCAGCATCCTGTTTCTATAGCAGTGGTGTCTCCCCTGCACTCCTTTCTGAGTCAGATTTGGAGACCTCACACCAAGCTTCACACTCTCCCATTCCCTGTCTATACCCCAGGGAGTGCAGGGACTGAACAGCCTCTGGTTCAGGAAGTGAATGGCTTTCTTGGTGGACCTTAAGGCTGTTCTGCTGAGGCTCAAGATGGGAGATGCTGGGTGGCACATTTAGGAAGCTGAGTCGTGGCACAGACCTTCCATGCTCATAGCCAAAATCGCTTCAGAAGTGGCTGATCACCCTCCATGGCTTCAAAAAACTGCTGAAGAAGGGAGGACAGAATCCTGCTCGTGGGCCTGGTGTGCTTAGAGGTCATGTGTACACAGTCAGAACAGATTGCAGCCCTCAGATATTGTGTAGTTTTCTGTGTGCATGTATAGATAGTGGGGCTCCAGGGTGCAGTTTGGAATATTACCACCCTAGATGTTGGGGCTCCAGGGTGCAGCTTTGGAGTATTGCCACCCTACATGTTGGGGTTCTAGGGTGTACTTTTGGAGTATTACCACCCTAGATGTTGGGGCTCCCGGCTGCAGTTTGGAATATTACCACCCTAGATGTTGGGGTTCTAGGGTGTACTTTTGGAATATTACCACCCTAGATGTTGGGGTTCTAGGGTGTACTTTTGGAGTATTACCACCCTAGATGTTGGGGTTCTAGGGTGCAGTTGTGGAGTATTACCACCCTAGATGTTGGGGTTCTAGGGTGCTGTTTTGGAGTACTGCCACCTCTTCTCTGTCTGAAAGTGAGCTGTGAGGCAGTCTGATATAGCCATAGCCCTGCCAGTCTCTGGGCTTTGCCCCTATGGGTTCCATGCTTGGATGTTTGAGTCATTTTGAACCATAAGGAAGCAGTGAAGTGGGCAGGAATAGTGTAATGGTTCCCTCTCCCCATTTGCTGGGCTTCCCCTGTCCTCAGTGGTGAGCTGAGGTAATGTTGAGACACACAGAATGGCCTTGCTCTGTTCTGTCAGCATGTGGTCCCACTATCCAGGTAGTCTGGAAACAAGTATTGAATATGATGTTAATTGTTCTAAATTTGCCAGAACATGTAAGTCTTAGAACATCCTGATCTTCAGCACATGATCATGACAACAGAATCACACGTAGAAATGACAGTAAATCCTTTAACTGATATGCTCAGCTGTGTTAGGTCCTGTATCAGTCGTGAGTGGACAGCTCTAGGACACCCCAGGGCTGAGCAGGTAAGTGATGTTTCTGAATGGTGGCCAGTTTCATAGAGGATAGGCATGGTTCCAGTCTGTTTGTGCCCAGTACACAGGAACCGTTTCCGGGAAATACATGCTGTGGACATGCAGGCGCACTGGAAATACACTAGTTACAGGGCATTTTTCAAGTGGGCAGAAGTAAGCTCTTGCTGAAAGTGCACAGCATGATCAGGAAGTGGCCGCTTGGTTCTGCCCTGGTAGTCAGCCTGGTCGGTGTCCACTAGTGAGTAAAAGTCCTAGCTGGTAAGAGACACTAGTCATGTCAGTCACTACTCAGTAATCGACCTGGTCGAGAGTGACCAGAGGGCAGGGTAATGAGTTGATGAAGGACATCGTAAGCGTCATTAGTGACAGTGCCTCTGACCCCTGCTCATAAACTGACCTCAGAAGAGTAGGACCCGGTCAAACCACTGTCCATAAAGGAGTGACGTGTTCATAGAACACCAGGCCCTGCTCTTTCGTGGGTGGATTCTCTGGGGCCCTCTGGTCTCCAATGGTCCAGTACTGTTGATTTGTTTATGAATAGTGAGCATGGTGGAAAACTTCGGATGTTCGCCTTGTGAACACAGACAAACCATGTTGGGGGGACATCTGGTATTGACAGACATGGAGCTGCAGAAGGGCACATGACCCCAGCAGTGAGTGACTGAGAATCAAACTCAAGAAAACTCTAGAATCTTCTGATCCGTAGTCAGACGCGTTATCCATTGCGCCACTGGCTGGAGCACCCACCCACTGAGACAGTGGAGCTGAACTATTCGGAGCTCACCAAGGCCAGCTGGATTGTGACTGAAAAAGCGTGGGATAAAACTGGACTCTCTGAGCATGGCGAACAATGAGGGCTGATGAGAAGCCAAGGACAATGGCACGGGGTTTTGAACCTACGTAATGTGCTGGCTTAGTGGGAGCCTAGCAAGTTTGGATGTTCACCTTCCTAGAAATAGACGGAGGGGGGAGGACCTAGGACTTACCACAGGGCAGGGAACCCTGACTGCTCTTTGGGCTGGAGAGGGAGGGGGAGAGGAGTGGGGGGAGGGGGGGAAGGGTGGGAGGAGGGGGCGGGAAATGGGAGGCTGGGAGGAGGAGGAAATTTGTTTTTTTTTTCTCCTTTTCTCAATAAAAAAAAAGTTAAAAAAAAAAAAAAGAAAACTCTAGTTACATAGAGAAACAGGGTGAGGAGACGCACAGGGACATAGTCCCCAGCAGAGAGCCACCATAGCCTCATACATCCCTGGGCCTGGGGAAACAGTGGTATGGGATGGGGCTTCTGTCTTCTGGACAAGCTTGTGGTGCTGTTACACCGTGTTCCATGTGGGGGACAGATGATACAGTATTGTTACTTGAAGTCACATTCTTAGGAAATGCACATGACACGGCCCAGGCCGTGTGACCATCTGAACTCTGTTGGGTTTGGGAGAAGTGTGGATGCCTGTGGGGAGAAAGGATAATAGACAGAGCAGGTGACACAGAATGACCCCAAGTCTCATCAGTTCCTGAATCCAAGGGGGAATTGACCTTGTTCCAAGTCTGAAGTTTAGGATTATCTTCCATTGCAAGAGTGCATGGTATGTACCTACCTGTGTTTAGTTTAAAGGACCATAGTGCTCATTTTGAGTGACGTTCTATTGACTTTGTGGATTTGGATTTGGATACACATAACTTGTATGAAATTATGAAGATCTTGTTTGTGTTTCTCCCCTCTCCTCATCTTAGGTGAATGAGAACTTTGCCATCGATTTGATAGCAGAGCAGCCTGTGAATGAGGTGGACCATCGGATCATAGCCTGCGATGGTGGTGGTGGTGCCCTGGGCCACCCCAAAGTGTACATAAATTTGGTATGGAGCTAAGCAGCCTGCTGTTTCTTGATGCTCACCTTCCCTCCCATCCACCTGCCCTGGCTCTCCGAGTGTCCTCACCATGCATGGGGTGAGCCCAGATAACAGCCACAGCCCGAGGTTCAGTCTCTGCCTCGTGTTTGCACAGGCATTTCTGGTTGACACTGTGCTTCAAGTTCAGCCTGGCCTTCAGTGTGCTGTCTAATTGGGATTTGAGGTAAAATATAAAAGTATGAGGTAATTCCTTTTGAATCTTTTCAGGACAAAGAAACAAAAACGGGGACATGTGGCTACTGTGGCCTGCAGTTCAAGCAGCACCATCATTAGTGTGGCTGACCTGGTCCTCTGACACCGGTGCAATACCTGTCTCCACGTGAGGTGTTTAGGTGTGACGTCACCGCTCTGTGAACGGTGTCCCTTCTTATGAATAAAAGATGCTACCATCATGGACAGTGAGGTGTTTGTTTCTTTCACAGTGCGAGCTCATGTAGCAAACCAGGGCAGGAGCAGCTTTGTGTCTGGAGCGGCTACCCCTCTAGTGCTGGCTGCTGCATGTGGGTACCAGGCACTTCCTCAATTCTTCTCGTGTGGGCTGACCAGAGAAATGGCCAAGTGAAGGAGCAGCGAGAGGAGAGAATCACTTCTGCCTTGTACGCCCCCACCATGTGACCAAGTCTGGGTGGCCTCAGTCTCTGGCAGAGCTGTACCCTCACCTCAGGTCAGGGTCCTCCCTCTCATCCTTCCCCCAGCAGAGCGGCTTCAGACCCTGTTGGAAGGCATTTACGGTTACAGGCCCAGTGAAAGGTGTGCTGCATAATTAACCCAGGGTTCTGATGCAGCAGTATGGCACCAATAACAGCAGCTGGCTGGAAAGGCGTTCACAAGGATGTGGTCGCTCCCGAGGGAGGAGGTGGGGGCCCCCAGAAAAATGTTTGCACTGGTCGAGGTTCTTTTGCTCTGCCTGAACCCTAATCATTTAGTCCAGGAAAAGCTTTGCAGTGCCGGCTGTCCTGTTCCTCTGGGTGCCAAGGCCACTAGTGGTCAAGGCCCGGCATCCCCACTAGTAGGTTTTTAAATATTCCCTGCCCACGTCCATGGAATGTGCTGTTTTGAGACTATCATGGTCATACACACAGACTGAGGTCTGTGAACTGATTGTATGAGCACCCTAGGGCAACCCACATAATCCCAAAGTTTGGTCAGTGAGAGGGCTTGCTGAGAGTACATGCCAGCTCCTAGCCAACACACAGGCAGGGTGTTAGAGTGAGCATGTGTGCAAAGAATGAATGTCTTCCCTCAGAACAGGAACTTCTGACTCAGGCAGTTTGACTCCAAGTTGCTGGAATCTGAAAGCGGTGGCCAGCAGCTGTTCTCACATCTGATAGATCAGACTTCAGGGTCACTAGACAGAGGAAAATGTCCTCACACGTGTGGGACCAGTGGCTCAAGCCTGAGGTGACACATCAGAACTTTACTTCTTTTCAAGACAGAAAAGTCACATGCAAGCTGGAGGAAATGTTGGAAGCTCACATGGCAAAAACAGTTTCTGGTCTTGCATGACATAGTTGACATGAGAGGTTAGCATGAGGGAAGTAGTGAAGGCACAGAGAAAAACAGACCAGCAGACCAGCGGTGTGAGAAGACATGGATCCCGTCTCTGTAGCGAACTGGCATCAGACTGCATTGTGAGTTATATACCTGAATGGGCAGAAGGTTTTAATTTGGAATTTATCTTGAGTTACGATGGCTAAGTATGAAGACTTACATAAAAGGCTATTTGTGGAGGACTACTGACAATGGGCCAATCATATAAAACTGTCCTGATTAGATTCCTTTGCTAATTCAATGACACAAAGGCGTATAAACAGTACAGTTGGTTAGAATGTGTGCACAAACGAGTGTTCAGAAAAAAGCTTTGCATCCTCGTGGGCCATGTATGCTTTCATTTACAGATATTTTTTATTAGGATGGTGGCTAGAAAATTCTGGGAGTGAGGTTTTGAGTGTCTTTTGTATACTTTTTGAAATTTTGATAGTATACATGTCAAATGAAAATACTGTTCCCATGAAAAAGATTTACACAGAAAAATATCTTATTACTAAAAGTTTTAGAGAAGAGAAAAATCCCCATGTTCCGTCCGTATACTGGTGTCAGTCACTGTGTCCATACTGTGGTCCATGGTGATGAGAGAAGTGGCTGCAGCTTCTGGTGATCCTCTCGTAGACTTCTGCATCCCGCCATGCCCTGCTGCAGTCACCAAGTGAGGCTTAGCCCTGGAGTATTTGAGTCGTCTGCTGTCCTCTTGAGATTGGCAGTAATTGCACTTGAATGCACGTATCTGCTTGTGTTCAACCATCACCGCCAGCTACAAAATACCCCCAGTACTGGAGGAACTACATAGATGTGGCTAGCAATACTGAATTTTAAAACCATAGCAGATTCTTTAAATAAAGTGAAACTCTATCCCACTGAGTCATGGTTTTTTTTTTATTGCTTGAGACTTTCATACATGCATCCCATGTGTTGTGATTATCTACCCTCAAATTTTTCTCTCACTTCCTTCTAATTTTCCCTCCCGACTTTATGTACTCTTTTTAAATCCACTGAGTCCACTTAGAGCTGCCTGTATGTGTGTGGGTGTGGGCCCACCTGCTGGAATGTGGATAGCTTCTCAGAGGCCATATCCCTGAAGAAAACTGTCTCTCCTCCATCAATTCCTAGCAGCTCCTTGACTGTGGTGGGGAGTGGGGCTCTGTGACAACCTCCCCCATCCACGCTGATCTGGTGTGGGCCTTGGGTATGTAGTCACCGCCGTGATGAGGCCATGTGTGCAGTCATCCCACCCCATCTGGAAAACTATTTCACTAAAGTTGCCCCCAACCTCTGACTCTTAGAATCTTCCCGAGCCCTCTCCCTTGAGGATCTCTGAGGTGAGAAGTGTGATGTAGCCGCCCCATGTAGGACCGAGACTCCTGAAGTCTCTTGTGCTCTGCATACTGAGAGTTGTGGGTCTCAGTGTTGATTGCCGTCTACTGCAAAAAGTAGCTTCTGTAATGAGGGTTGAGAGATGTACTAATCTATGGGTATAAAGATAAGAACGTGGGAGTAATTTAATACTATGCCAGTTTATCAGAAGAAGAAGAAAAGTAGGGTTTCTCCTATGGTCTATGACCTACTCAACCTCAGGTTCTTGGCCCAGTTAATGGAGCCAGGCATGAGTTCCTTACCGTGTAGTGGACCTTAAATCCAACCAGAAAGTAGTTGATTGCTCCCATAACGCTGTGCCACTATTGTACCAGGGGCATCACCTGCCCAGTCACAGGATTTACAGGATTCACAGGTGGATACGATTCTTGATTACTTTCTCCCCTGGCAGTGTGCCTAGCACCTTTTAGCACCATGGAAGCTATCGAGTAGGGATAAAGCTTCCGGGTGAGTACCAGCTTGATTTCTGTACGCTGTTGACTCAAGTATGTGGTGTCTTCAGCAGCAGGGTCTTTCTTACCATCAAGTTCTGTAGAATCATCAAGAGCAGTGGTAATAACCTGTAATATTTGAGAATTGTTATAAGACCCCGTGGACAAGAACTTGAAAGGAGGTGATCCATACCTGACAGTAGGGTTTTTATTTGTTATCTACAGTGTCTGGAAGAGGTATCTCCATCTCACATTATGAGGTAATTCCATTCGAACTCTCTCGGTTGTGTGTGTGTGTATGTGTGTGTGTGTGTGTGTGTGTGTGTGTGTGTGTGTGCGCGCGCGTGCGCGTGTGTGGGTATATGTGTGTTTAGGAAGCTTATACAATCTTTTAGTATTAATTTTTCTTCCTTACATTCTATTCTCTACTCTGGTGTCTTAGTCAGTGTTTTATTGCTGTGTAACAGTCCTGGCTGTCCTGGAACTTGCTCTGTAGACCTGGCTGACCTCAAGGCCACAGAGGTCTGCCTACCTCTGCCTCCTGAGTGCTGGGATCAAAGGCGTGCACCACCACTGCCTGGCGGCAACTCCTATAAAAGAGCATTTAATTAGGAGTTGCTTACAGTTTTAGTCTATCGTCGTTGTGGTGGGGAGTATGGCAGCACGCAGGCAGATGTGCCAGAGGAGAAGTGACTGAGCATTCTACTTCCAGATCCTTGGGCAGCAGGAAGAGAGACTCTGGGAATGGCTTGGACTTTTGAAACTGCAAAGCCCATCCATCCCCAGTGACACACTTCCTCCAGTAAGACCACATCCACTCCAACAAGCCACACCTCATCTCTCTCAAGTAGTGCCACTCCCTGATTCGAATGTGTGAGGCTATGGTGCCCAATCCTATTCAAACCACCACACCTGGCCTCCAATCCCCTACCCCACTTAGGGATTCCTCCTCCATTATTCCCCACCTCACACCACCTGTGTTCTATCCCTCATCCCTTGAAATCTTGCCTCATCCCCTACAGGGCCCCTTACTGTTTTCTTGGCTCCTATGGGTACTCCACTTTAAACACATATGTGTAGATTTGAAGCTAGCATCCACATATGTCTGCATTACCTCACCCGGGATGATTGTTTTTAGCACCATCCATTTACCTGTGAATTTTATAATTTCATTTTTTCTTTACAGCTGAGTAAAATCCCATTATGCAAATGCATCACTTTCTCATTATCCATTCATCAATCGAAGGACACATAGGCTGTTTCCATTTCCAGGCTTTTGTGAGTAGAGCAGCAGTGAACATGGGTGAGGAAGTATCTGTAGTAGGATAGAGTCCTTCGGGAATATGCCCAAGAGTGATACACGAGGATCATATGGGAGATCTATTTCTAGCTTTTTGAGGAACATCCATACTGATTTCCATAGTGGCTGCACCAGTTTGTACCAGCAGTGAATAAGTATTTATCTTTCCCTGTACTCACGCCAGCATTTCCTGGCATTTTTTAAACCCTAGCCAATCTAAGGGGGTATTAATTTACCCTAAGCATCAGTACTACATGTCGGGCAAGGCAAGGCAAAGCAAAGCTTGAGTCTTCCAGAGCGGGCTGCTGACTGTGGCAAACATGCATCCTTTTCACCTCCTGTCAGGACCCAGCCTGTACCCAGGTGGCAGGACTTCCGAGGTGGAAGAAGGGTATGGAAGTGGCCTTCATGTTAGAAGCCATTCTTGGTTGGTTACCAAGCAGAGCTTCTCATCTGGCACAACATCCACAGGCTGGTAGCAAGCAGGACACTTTTGGTGAATTGGTTCTCCCTAGAAAGGGGGCGCAGGCCAAGGCACACTCAGACTACTCATTCGCCCACAGCAGGTTTGGGAAGGGGCAGGGTCAGCAAGGCCACGTTGGGCTGCATCTGTGTGGCTGTTCATAACTCCTGAGGTATCTGCACACATCTACATAGCCTCACCTGAACCCATGCCCGGGAGCAACAGGCACAGTTGTGAGGCTCCACCATGTCCAGATGCCAGCCTCGCCCTG